TACCTATAAAGCCTCATCTCCAATCACCTCCTCTCTTCCCTACAAAGCTTGCATGTGTCCACAGACACACACACACAGCCCTGGACATCCTGCCCCTCCCGTTCCCCACTACTACCACCAATTTTCCTGCCAGGCCCACCCGGCCCCCCTTGCCGTTTTGTAAGCAGTATGCTTCACCTGGCTCCAAGCGCTGCTCAGAGCCAACCCCTTCAGAAGTCCTTGCCATGGAAAATCTATTTATTTCACTTATGATTGTTGGGGTTTTTGTTGCTTGTGGTGTTTGGGTTTTTCTGGTACTGTTTGCCCCTTTTTTGTACTATTCATTAGTCACCTAAGTGTTAGCATTATTGTGGGTGTGTCTGTTTGATATATGTGACCAGTCACTCAGGAACTATTGATTTGAGCACATATACCAAACACTAGGCTACAGAGCTAAATAAAATGGAACTTGCAGGTTAGTAGGAAAAAAGCAAATAAGACTAGTGTTATTAGGTTGGGAGCTGGGGGAGGGAACTGGCAGGGCCTGAGCAGGGCAGCACACACAGATTATTGTCCACATCATCCCTCATGTGTGAGCTCCCTGCACAGCTCCTTGCATTTAGTGACTGCTCCATGAATGTCTTTGAGTTGAACTGAATAAAGAGAGGAGTTTTTAAAGAGCAAACAGGGCAAGGGGCCGGGGTGAAGGAGACAGGGAGGGGGAACTAGAGGAGGCTGCCCCTCTGAGAGCATGTGCTGACAGGGGTGGTTTGGGGTTTAGGGCCCATCTTTGGGGCCCTGTCCCAGAGCTCCTTGGAAGTAAGGACACTTGTAGGGAGGTGGGTCCTTGGCAAAGGTCTACTGCTCAACCCTAAGGATTGGAGTTTCTCTAATTCAAAATAGAAAAGGAAAAGGGGGTCTATATTTGCCTTTTTTGTTTTTGTTAGGGGCAGGATAAAGGGAACATATACAGTTTGTTTCATGGTTTTTGTTTTTGTTTTTGTTTTGTTTGGTCATATTTCTCAGATTTTCAGTTGGCTAATTTAAGGAACAAATCCTTACTTGAAAGCTACTTTTGTTGCTTTTGGGAGGTCTGGGGGTTAAGCAACCTTTTTGTAGCAGTATGCCTTTCTTGGTTTTGATTGGGATATTTTGAAATTCTAAGTGTGGAATGTGCCCTTCAGGTCAGAACTTGGTGTCTGGCCCTGCCAGGTACACCTTTGGCTTGGTCCTTTCCTAGATCACAGGTTCTTACTCACCAGTGAGGGTCATGGGAAAACAGAGCTCTTCTGTACACTTTTTGGTCCCACGTTGTTTGAGGAGAGAACGTTCTGGTTACTTGAGTAAGAGTCAGTCCACTTACCTCATGGTCCTGCTTGACACACACTGCACCATCCAGAATATGGTCACAGTCCTGAAAGTAAGCAGACAATGCCTCTAAGAGGCTGGGATCACAAAGCTCATGCATTCATTTAATCAACACGTGTATTAAGTGGCTACTCTGTGCCAGTTACTGGGCTAATAAGGGAGGGCCTCCTCCCCTCAAGGACTATGTGGTGAAGAGCTTAGCAGTTGTTCCCTGAAGGCCTATTACCCAAAATGACTACCCTTTTGCAAATAAATCTAACAAGACTAGTTTATTCGCTTTTCTAGCCCACAGCCAATTAGCAGTAGTAAATAGAGGATGTGTGGGGATGATTGGTGACCATAGACACACAAATGAGTAGGCAGGAGTGGAGGAGGAAGACAAAGGATCATATACAGAGATGCCAGAATGGCAGTTATAACAGTCTGAGCAAGCCAGTTGATGTGAAGCTGAGACCCAGTGAATTTCAGTAGCCCTGAGGACATCGTTACCTAACACACTCCAGTAGGTGATGTTCCTGGTAATAACTCTAAATAAATCTAAATAAGAAATGATTGATTATTGTGCTTAAGGCTCAAACAGTTATAATAGCCTTCCCTCCCTACCTCCCTCCTTCCCTCCCTCCCTTTCTTCCTTCTCTCTCTCCCTCCCTTTCTGTTTTAAGATTTCCATCTTAACCATCCAAATGGTTAAAGTGTGTTTCTGCTTGGAAACAAGTCACATTTATCTGGGAAGTTACTTGTGTGGAAGGGCTTATTCCTCAACAAAACCATGCACATGAAACATAATTCTTGTTTAATCAAATCATTGTCATAAATACAATCAAGAATGAGGAGTTGTCAAAGGATAGAATGCAACCACTCTGAATATTCTGTGAATATAATGTAATCACTGGAAGTACCTAAGGAGAATTGCTCTAAAATTTATTTTCAGTGATTATCCATTTATGAAAGCCATACTGTTTATGATAAAGAACAGTTTGATAGAGTGTACAGGTTATGGGGAAGTGGCCCACAAGCTGCAGATGACAAGAGGTTTTGCCATCACAGATGTGGGTGGGACAGTGAGTTGTAACTGCCTATCTCCATCACACCAAGCTGTTCTGCCGGGGAAGCAGGATCTGTTATTTATTTGATAGCCAACAACTGCTTGGAACCAGGTGTCAGCAAACTTTTCTTTAAAGAGCTGGAGAGTAAATATCCAGGGCATGTGTGTTACAGCTACTTAACTCTTGCCATTGTAGTACAAAAGCAGCCAGAGACAATTTATAATCAAACGATGTGGCTGTGGTCCAACAAAACATTATTGGTTTTGAGCTTAAATAGTAATTGTGAGAACACAGGTGATATAAATATAAATCTGTATGGCAGTAGGAAACACCAAAAGAACGCTTGCAACTGGAGGTTGTCAAAATGTGGAGCTTCAGTCAGCGTTTGAATCATTGTGTGATATCAGCTTTTCTTTGGTTTTCCTTGAACAGAGTTTGTAATTTTAGAATTTGCTGGGCACAGGTCAGGTCCCAGACATCCCTGATCTCTGATCTTCTACTGCCCTGTTTGGTGCTTCAGAAGGGGGGCCTGCATCTTTTAATGCATTTAGGTTGTCTCTGGCAGGACTACATTGCCACTGTCCTCTGGAGAGCACAGGATTGCTGTTAGAAAATTTTGGTTGATGGACCACCAGGAACCAAGACTTTTACTATACTTAAGATGGTTATTTATTATTATTTTTTTAAGACAGAGTCTCGCACTGTCACCCAGGCTGGAGTACAGTGGCATGATCTCAGCTCACTGCAAGCTCCGCCTCCCGGGTTCACACCATTCTCCTGCCTCAGCCTCCCGAGTGGCTGGGACCACAGGCGCCCACCACCACACCCGGCTAATTTTTTGTATTTTTAGTAGAGACAGGGTTTCACCGTGGTAGCCAGGATGGTCTCGATCTCCTGACCTCATGATCCGCCTGCCTCGGCCTCCCAAAGTGCTGGGATTACAGGCGTGAGCCACTGCCCCCAACCAAGATGGTTATTCTATCTCTATGTGTCATGACTTCTTGTCACTGTGATAGTGACTGTATTTGTTGAGTCGATGTTCCTTTGGGCAAATATGTAATAGCATATTTAACTGCCTTTCAGCCATTAATTCTCTGCCACCTTGAGAGGAGTGGCCCTGTCCTTATTCTTCATTATTAGTCTGTGCAACTTGCGACTCTAGAATGTCTGTCATTTTGAATAGTAGTTACTGGTCTGCCCTCCTAACTTTTTGGACATGTCCTTACTATTCATAACAATACTGAAAGCCTGCCTTTGCCCTTCAGAGCCATAGTCTTAGGAAGCATACATGGCCAGTGCTGCTTTTGAGTGATTTCTTCTGCTGTGTAGTTACTTGAGTTCTCAAAAGACAGAGATATTCCCTGCCTGTGTTGTAGCCTGTGCTATGGGTGGCTTTTCCATGGCACGTACATCTGGTGGGGCGCTTGAGCCATCACAGTTTCTAACTGAGAAACCTGGTTGGTGGTGCAACAGGCCAGAGAGGGTAAGGTAAAGAAGAAGAGAAGGGAAATCTATGCTTTCTGTGTCTTGCAGCACATGCTATGGATAGACATTAGTCATTGATTCTTGGTTATTTCATTGCTGTCTCCAGAGACTTGAATTGCAGCTGCTAGAGAGAAAGGGTGCTTTGCTCAGCACTTGTTTCTGAAGAAATGGATGTGTTTCCTAGAGAAAATACATGTGCATAGCCTGTGAGGTGTACGGAGTGTTGTGATCTATATCGTTCATCACAAGCTCTTCCACCAGTTCCCTCAACCCTCATACCAGCAGTCCTGGGAGGAGGCGGCCAGGGCTGGAATGTAGATGTTTTCACAGGTGAGGAAACAAAGGCATATGAAGCACCCCACAGCCAGGTGGTAGGAAAACATCTTTGAGCTCGCTCCCCTTCTCTCTGCCTCTCCTTTTAAGTCAAAATTTGAACATATCTACTGAGGCACTGTCCACCCAGTAGATCTCTAATAACAAGGAGACCTAGGTTCTAGTGCTACCTCTAAATTGCCAGGCTGGGCCGGGTGCCGTGGCTCATGCCTGTAATCCCAGCACTTTGGGAGGCCGAGGTGGGCGGATAACTTGAGCTCAGGAGTTTGAGATCAGCCTGGGCAACATGGCGAAACCCCATCTCTACAAAAAATACCCTAAAAATTAGCCAGGTGTGGTGGTGCATTCCTGTAGTTCCAGGTACTTGGGAGGTTGAGGTGGGAGGATCGCTTGAGCCTGAGGTGGGAGGTCAAGGCTGCATTGACCTAAGATAGTGCCACTGCACTCCAGCCTGAGTGACAGAGTGAGACCCCACCTAGTCTCAAAAAACAAAAAACATAAATTGGCTGTGTCCGCTGCTTCTGCTCTGGCTGACCTTGGGCAAGACATTTACCCTTTAGAGGCTCCCTTTTTATTATCTGTCATGTGAAGGCCCTGTTTCAAGAAGGCTAAATTGACTCTCAGAAGCAGGGAAGAGGACTCATGTTTTAAATGAACAAGGTGATTAGGTGGCTTTGCACATAGGGGTTTGCAGATAGGTAATCACAACTCACTTTGGGAGTAATTTTGTCAAACCTCCTTAATGATAAGACAACACCAAGTTTCTGGATTCTTTCCTCTCTCTTTCAGATGCCAGTATGGACAGAATAGCTTATGATGCTTATCCCCACCCACCACTTCCGAGACATTGAGCGGAAACCAGAATACCTCCAACCGGAGAAGTGTGTCCCACCCCCCTACCCTGGTCCTGTGGGAACCATGTGGTTTATCCGTGACGGCTGTGGCATCGCCTGTGCCATCGTTACCTGGTTTCTGGTCCTCTATGCAGAGTTTGTGGTCCTCTTTGTCATGCTGATTCCATCTCGAGACTACGTGTATAGCATCATCAACGGAATTGTGTTCAACCTGCTGGCCTTCTTGGCCCTGGCCTCCCACTGCCGGGCCATGCTGACGGACCCCGTGAGTATGTCTGGGCTTGTTTTGACCAGCCCACACTCTCCTCCTCTGGCTCTGGCATGGCCATAGCCTGCATGCTCCCCCTGGACCTTGGGAATTTGGAGAATAGGAGCGCCAGGGGAGGGTGAGGAAGTAGACCTCTGCCTTGTTCAGAGTTCTGTGGAATTCTGACTGGGGAAGAGGGGTCAACACCTGTACCACAGCCCATCTGTCTTGGTTAAATGATACTATAAGTACATGGATATATGCATTCATTGGGCCTGCTGTGGGAGGGGTTTGGTCTAGGGGAAACCTGGCCTCTGGTTAAAAAGACACAGATAACCTTGAAGACTGGGACCAGATGATCAGAGCAGAAAGCATGCTGGAGGGTTGGGTCAGGATGGGGCTTCCCAGTGAAGACAGTGCTGGAGCTAGGTGGACTTCAAATTAAAGCCACATCCAATTCCAGGAACCTGCACGGAAATGGCCTTCACTTTGCTTGGGCGAGGTGCGTCTTTTCCTGAAAAGCTGGACAAGCCTGTTTCAGGCCGCAGCAAGTGCCTCTTGGTGAATATCTGTGGGTAAAGCAGTAGTGTTCTGCTCAATGACTTAGCTGAATATACCAAGCTGCGCACGTGGCTATTGAATGTTTGTGCACCCTGGTATTAAACCCTCTGTTCTGTTCCTTTTCTTGTATGGGAAAAGCAAGAGAATACATTATTTGATAAAGACCTTCTGTGGCTTGTTTCAGTACGTGGGACGTGTGTGTTTAAATTAAGAGAGGGAAAGCACTGCTACTAGACACTGACCATACAGATTTTGTTTCTGTGAGCCCCAGGGACAGTGAGGTAGTGATGATAATGATGGGCCTGAGCTAGTTCTTGTCTCAAAGGGCTCCATTTCCTGCCGGTTCAGGTGGTGGATTATTATTAATCCATCCCAAAGGAAACCAGCTTTCCCAACTCAATTACATGTCAGCCACTAGTCCAGACAGCATCTCTGTTCATGCGCATGCCTTAGGAGACCAAACACACTGGCAGGCAGGGGCCTGTTGGCCTAGTATTTAGCACTGCATGCGGGACAGCCATCACCTGAGGGAAACCATGTATATGGGTGTAATCCTAAGTGTCCCCAAACACAAGGATATGAAAGAGTTTTCCCAGCAGCATCTATATGGTCATGCTGAAAATAAGTTAAGGATTTATTCAGAAATGTGTATGATACCATTGCTATTGGGGATGCAGAAGTAAAAGACATTGCTTCTCTCAGTGCATAGTTTACTGTCTACCAAGCCCCAGATACTGTTCTTACCCTCAAGATGCCCTCTGTCTAGAAAAGACAGGTGACGATAAACCTGTGTGATGAAGGTTGTGGCAGAAAGAAACATGGATTGCTGTGGGAGAACAAGGGTGGGGAGATTAATCAATCTATAGAGGTGACTGCTTGGAGGAAGCAATGCCAAACCAGCTCTTGTCCAAGCAGTGGACATTGAGGACAGGAAGGCAGGCAGAGGGAGCCGCTTGCAGAGACATAGGAATGCAGGAGCGTGGCTCCTCTAGGCACCAGGAGTGGTGGGAACTTAGGAAGAGAATGAATTTAGGTTGGTGACGTGGGTGAGGTACCTAAGGAGGAGGATAGGAGTTGGATGATGAGGGGCAGTTTAGGGCCCCTAAGGATTTTCAGCACATTTTAAACAAAACTGTCATTTTACAAGTCTCACTCTGGCAGTAGTGAGGAGGAGTGGCACTGGTGTGGGAATAAAATGAATGGCCATGTTTCCTGAGTGCCCGTTCTGTGAGAGATTGCTTTCTGAGCAATGGCTACAGTTATGAGCAAGACAGATGCAAATTCCTGCCCTTGTGAAGCTCACTTTGTAGTGACGGGGTCAGGTAGTAAGGACATGATTGAACAGGGTATTTTGGAAAGTGATAAGTGCTTTAAAGACAATAAGACAAAGTGACCAGGATGATGTACTGTTGACTCTCTGGGGCAAAGGGGGACTACTTTAGATCGAGGTGGTCTAAGGCGCCATCTCTGAGGTGGTGCCTTTTGAGCTAACCTGAATGACACAGGGTTACAAGCCAGGCAAACGAAGATCCAAGGGTAGAGAAAAGAGTAGATTCAAAGGCCCAGAGACAGAAACATGCTCAGCACATCTGAGAAATAGGACTAGGACTGGGGTGATCAAAACATGGTAGCTGGGGGTAAGAGTGATTAGAAGAGGTGAAGAGGGCCTCAGAGGCCAGATTGTGCAGGGCCTGGTAGGCCTCTTGAGAACTTTGGATTTTATTCTAAGTGCAGTCAGCAGCCTTCAGAGAGACAGGGTGTGATCTGATTTGCATTGTGCTTGCAATGGAGATTCAAGGTGTTACAAGTAGAAGCAGGGGGACTAGAGGTATTGCAGTGGTCCGGGCAAGACATGGTGGTGGCTCGGACCAAAGTAAGAGCAGTGAAACCAGAGAGAAGCTGTTGGATTTGGAGTCTGTTTTAAGCTACTAGTTTTCAAGCCTGCCTGTACCATCTCTTGGAGAGCTGTTTAAACGTACTGATGGCTGGGCCCCACCCCCAGGGACTACTATAATTGGTCTGAGGGCAGGGCCCTGGGTATTCAAATGCTTTAGAGCTGCCACATTTCCCTCACATTTCCCTCTCAGGCCAGGCCTGAGAATGCGGTTCAGAACTGACAGAATGGAGAGAGATTGGAGGGTGTAACTTCCATAGTCTTAGCTAGAGAATCTTGGGGAGCACTGGTGCCCGTTATTGATTTTGGAGGAGAAATCAAGACTTATGTTCTAGTCAGACTGCCACTATATTATGTGCAAGTGGAGATGCTAGATGGGCAGTAGATAGTCTGGAGCTGATGGAGAATCAGGGTTGGAGAGAGTGTGTGTGAAGGTCTTTGGTTTCTGGAAGGCATGTGAAAACAGGGAACTGGATGTTAGGCAGTGAGAGGGGAGGCTTCTGCCCTGGCATTCCTGCTGCCCTCACATACATGGGTTCTTTACCCACCGCACTGAAGCGTGCAGCCTCTCCAGAGACCTTGGCCAGCTGGCCCTTGCAGTGGATGCAGGAGAGCATGATTTTCACTGTGGTGTGTTGCCAGCTTCCAATCCCAAAGCAGTGAGAGGCACAGACTGTATCCTAAACAACAGTTAGCTTCCCAGAGGTATTTTGCTGGTAGCCCCAAAGAAAACTGGCCCCCAAAATGAAGAATTTGTCAAATATCTACCATTAGTAAGGGAAGCAACCGAAAGCATGTTCTACAGATGTGCCTTGTTTTAGGGTCTTCATGCTACCATCTGCCTCTCCCCATCCCCAGCACATGATATCTCATGTGCTCATATCTCATCTAAAACCCAGTATGCAAAACAGAGAAGTGGGGCTGCAGAAGTAGGAGCTCCTAAGGCGCTGTTGGGACACCCTAGGATTCCAAGGAGCAGAGTTGGAAGCCTAGGTCATAAGCAGATAAGTTAGGCGTTCCTTATTAATATTGCAAAGGAGTCTTTTTTTAGAAAGTGGTCACTACAGAGTTCTAAGGAGTTCCCTAATGGGATTATAATGTTTTATATCTCAAGAATTCATGTTGTACATGCTTTTTCAGAACAGTTTATATCCAAAGGTTATAAGCAATGTATGCATTGTGTGTCACTTTGGTTTGTTATCATTACTAGTTTAAAAAATATATATATATAAAATATATATATAATTTTATATATATATATATTAAAAAAAACACCTTATGTTCTCCCTCAAGCGGTAACTTTACCGCTTTCAGCTTTGAAATAATTATTCTAAGTGTAACATCTGAACAATTGCAACCACCACAGCCTTCTGGACCATTTATCAGTGATTTACTCTAATGTAGCAGTAGATAGGTCCACATAGAGCTTGAAAAGAAAAGGGAAGTGGGAAATGACTCACAAATGTGTAAACAGCCCCCTTGGAAGTGAGATAGCCATTTGAGAAATAGGGCAAAAGGGACAGATCTTTAAACAGAGGGAAGAGGACAAATGGACAGAGAAGCAGGGCAGGCGCCTCACTTGGCAGGCAGGCTGGCCTGGAGGCGGCATGGGTGTGGGCAGGAGCACAAGTCAGGCTGACGTTTGGTCTCCTGACACCTTCTCCTTGCCCACTCTGAGGTTGCGTAATGTCATCATAGGAGCTTTCTGTGTTCTGGAAACACTTCAGACATTTAGAAGGCTAGAATGACTCCATGTGCCCTGCGGAGGCAGCCTCTTGAAGACAAACTGAACTCAGAAACCCTTACCTTAGTACCCCCTCTCTCTTTTCCTCATTTCTCAGTTTCACCACCTTTTCTTTTCCAAATTCCTCATTCTGTGAGCTCCCTTAGGAGTCCTGAGGGGCTTCCTTATTTCTGAGACAATGTCTGTCTCCCAGAAGATGCTTAAACCTGACAGATGGAGATTGTTTCTTTTTGTCCCGGCTGCCAGGAAGCTCAAAGCCAAGTGTTACACAATCACAGTGATTGTATAAACCCTTACGATCAGCATATTTTTGCCCCTTCTTTTTTGGATCTTATCGTTTATTAACTTCATAAATTATTTCAAATCAGATTTGAGAAAAGGAGGAATATACAGTCACGCGTCACTTAATGATGGGGATAAGTTCTGAGAAATGCATTGTTAGGCAATTTGATCATTGTGCAAACATCATAGACTGTACTTACACAAACCTAGATGGTACAGCCTGCTGCACACCTACGCTGTATCGAATAGCCTCTTGTTCCTAGGCTACAAATCCATGCAACGTGTTCCTGTACTGAATACTGACTGTGGGCAACTGTAACACAATAATATTTGTATATCTAAACATAGAAATGGTACAGTAAAAACATGGTATTATAATCTTGAGGGACTTGTTGTTGACTGAAACATCATGGTGTGCATGACTGGATTTATAGTCAATTTAACCACATTATTAAGGAAAAGAAAATTTGTCTGTCTGCCTGCTCCCCTACCCCAACCCCTCTTGAATCCTACTCTGTGAACACCTTGCTATAAACA